GTTCAGTCCCCGGCGACCAGATTAAGCATCAGGTGGTTTTGTCACCTGCAGAGAGAGAAACCGGAGAGACGATTGTTTGAAATGAGAATTGAGCCGAGAGACGAACAGAGAAGCTTTAATTCAGTGTTTTGCTCTTTTTAATTGTGACTACGGCTAAAAAACAAACAGTCGTCTCGTTGTTGCAGCAGATTTATTGTGATTTGTCTTGAACTGTCATCAGTTTCCAGTATCTGTACGAGAACGTTCAGTAAAATCAGCCTCATGTGTTGTTAAATCCTAATAATTCCAACATATAGACCCCTAAGAACACCAGTTCCTGTTTTATCATAATGAGTCCACGTCAATATTTTAGCATTTCAGAAAAACAAAACCAAAAAAAAACAGGGGTAACAACAAAAACGAGACAAAAACTGTCCTGAAAGGATGTGAAACGACACAAACGAGACACAAAATGACCACAAAGAGACAAATAAAAGTCCTAAAGACCAAAACATGATTGACAATTTTTAAAAATAACAACAACAACAAAAAAACAGAATCAAAACAAGAAAAGCAAGTATGGAGACATAAAGACACAAAACCTGACAGAAAATAAGACGACACAAAATAAGAACAAAAAATCCCATCAAATGACAGAACGGAGACTAAAAACAACAAAGACGAGACAAATCGACAGCAAAGAGACATGAAATGACAAAAATTAAACACAATCATTGACAGAAACAAAACAAAAGAACAAAAAAACAACAAACAAACAAAACTGGACACAAAACGTCATTAAACAAGAAAAACGAGGCACAAAGTGACCAAAAAAAAAAAAGATAGAAATTAGACAAAACTGTCACAAAATAACACAAAACAGAAACAGACGAATGTAGAACCGCAAACTTTGTAGCTCTGCACATCCAGAACCAACATCCAGAACCAACACCTAGAACCAACATGTAGAATCAACATCTAGAACCTGTGAACTCCAGGTTCTGGTTCCTGCCAATGATCCACGTCAACATTTAGTCTGAACATGTAAAAACCAGAACCTTGTCTGGTCCAGCTTCACCACATCAGGTTCTGCTGATGTTAGAGCCTCAACAGGTGGTGAGATGTGACCAGAGACTGGGTTCTAGTAGAACCATGGATCCATCCATAGACAGACACTGACAGGAACTCTCTGGATCAGCACCAGCCCGGACTGATGATTTATCCATTTTGTCCATGTTTAAGGACCAATAGAGGTTCTTTACTGTCATGTTGGAGGATTTCTGCTGGCTTTGGACACGTTTCAGTTTCCAGTCCTGTGGGCCATCCATCAAAGTCACTTTCTGAGAAATCTGCGTTATTTGGGAAACCTTTCCAGTGGAGACATCAGAACCCTGGAACCTTGGCTGACTGGACCTGCCACTGATCAAATCCTACTGATATTGGAGCCACATGGTTTTTTTAAAGGTACAAATGATAAAATTTTCAGAATTCAGTCAAAACATTTCACCGAATTTGATCTTTTGTAACCCGACGGCGTTTGAACCAGTTTAGCCTCTAACGTGTTTCCTGCAGCCGCCGTGTGACTGAAACGTTCAGTAACCGCTGGTTCTCCTGACAACCAGCTCGTTAACGACCAGCATGCAGGTTAATCAGGCGCCCATGAGTCCTTCTCAACAGTTCAATTAGAGATGAACCATCTGAGGAACTGTGCTTTTCCCAACAGATGTCGTTGTGTCACCAAGAGAAGATGTGAAATCATCACAAAGATTCTAAATCACTTCCAAAAGACGTGAAATCATGAGTTGATTCAGTTCTGTTTTTATAAATCATATGATTGTCGGTAGATGTTTGCTGGTCTGCTCTGAGTCTGTTCAAAAAGATGCAAAATCGCCACTAAAAGATCCGAAAGTACGACAAAAACATTCAGTCACAACTCAAACCACCTCCAAGACTCACGACAAAAAACAATCAGTTCCCACAAAACACTCAACAGCACTGCAAAAAGACGCAGAAGCACCAGAGAAAGATTCAAAATCATTGCAGAAAGACGCAAAATCACCTCAAAAAGATGTAAAATCACAACAAAAAGACACCAGACCTCCTCGAGGAGTCGCGCCATCGCTACGAAAAGATGCAAAATCACATCAGAGAATCTCAAAATCACCACGAAAGACGTGAAATCAACGCAAAGCGACTTGAAATCACCAAATAAATCGTCAAAACAAGCACAGAAAAGTTAAATCACCACAAAAAGTCACAGCAATAAACAGAATTATCACAAAAAGACATGAAATCAACTGAAAGACTCAAAAAATAACTAAAAAAATCTAAATCACCACATAAACACACACAACGTGACATGAAATCACCAGTCCCTGTGCTCATATTGTGGCTGTCAGTCTGTTCTCATGATTTCAGTCAGAAATCAGCAGCTTACACTGATTTAAACTTTATGTGCTGATTTAGAATTCACGGAGGTGGAAAAGGCTGCAGCTGAAGCGTTCAGTCTCTCAGCTGTGTCAGGAAGTCCAGGTTTTATTTTGAAAGGCCTGAATGTGCCGTCAGATGGTCACCAAGCAGCTCCACAGAACGTCTTGAACATCTGTCTGACAGATGTGTCGCTGTGTCTTCTCTAACTAGACCATCAGCTGCTTGATCCTCACAGCGTCATAAAGATCCTCCTCCTCCTCTCTGCAGCGCCTTCACATCACAGAGACACAAAATCACAACAAAAAGACACAAAATCACAACAAAAAGACACAAATCATACTGAATATTTAAAATCATTGCAAAACAGACACCACATCAGCGCAAAAGTCACAAACAGACTGAAAATGACCACAAAAATCCATGAAGTCCCCACAAAGACTGAAAATCAACACAAAAAGACATGAAATCACCACAAACACTGAAGAAGACGACATAAAGATGTTAAATCATCTCATGAAGCTCCAAACCACCACAACAGTCAGATTTGTTTCTCCTCTAATTAGACGTCAGGTGTTTGATCCTCACAGCATCATTAAACTCCTCCTTCAAGCTCTTTTCTTTTCTTTCCTTTCCTTTTCTTTTCAGACGTCCTAATTAGCCCTGCAACACTCGTCAGCAGCTGAATGAACAAAAACCTCCAAAGAAGAAGAAGAAGAGACGTTCTGGAGAGGGAAGAGGAAAAACAGACAGAAGGAGGAGCTGCAGATAAAATAACAAATACTGAGCTGCAACGACTGTCACAAAAAGACTTAAAATCACCGTAAAAACGCACAAAATCGACACAAGAAGGTTCAGAATCACCACAGAAAGATGATAAGTCAGCAAGAAAACACACAAAACTACCTAAAAAAGTCAAAATCAACATAGAAAGATGTGAAATCACCACAAAAACATCCACCATCACCTTAGAGAGTCGTGAAATCACCACATAAAGACTCAACATCACCTTAAAAAGACCTAAAATCATTGCAAAAGCACTCACAATCTCTACAAAAAGTGTCAAAATCATCACAGAAAGACGCACATCAGCAAGAAAACACCCAAAATTACCTGAAACAGTCAAAATCACTTCAAAAAGATTAAAAATCACCACCAGAAGATTCCGAATCACAACTCAAAGATGTGAAATCACCACAAACAAGACACAAAATCATGACAAAAATACTTAAAATCATCGCAAAAACCAAATCAGCCAAAGGGCACCCCAAATCACCGAAAAAACCCTCAAAATCACAACAACAAGATATCAAATCACTATAAAAGTATCCACGTGTCGTGAAATCACCATGAAAAGATTCAAAATCCCTTCAAAAAGATTTTAAATCACCACCCAAATATTCAAAATTACAACTAAATGATATCAAATCACCACAAAAACATCCACCATCACCTTAAAGTGTCGTGAAATCACAACGAAATGACTCAAAATCACCACAAAGAAACAAAATCCCCTTGAAAATATCCTTGAACTCACCACGAGACACAAAATCTCCTTAAAAAGAATTAAAATCACTTCAAACACGCACAGAATCACCACAGGAAGATTCAGAATCAGCTGAAAACACACAAAATCATCTTAAAAAGTCAGAATCATCATAAAAAGATGTGAAATCACCGCAAAAACTTCCATAATCACCTTAAAGAGTCATGAAATCACCACTTAAAGACTCAAAAACCCTTCGAAAAGATTTAAAATCACCACAAAGAGTCAAAATCACAACTAAAGAATAAAAAATCACCACAAAAACATCCACCGTCACCTTAAAGACTCAAAATCACCATAAAATCACATAAAATCACCTTGAAACGAGCACTACACAGCCAGAGAGCGCCGTGTGCAGGTGGAGAATCTAAAAGTTTCTGATCTGTGAAGACTTTTCATCGACTCCCATCAGCAGCAGACGGATGCTGAGCAACAACCTGCTGACACTGAAACAGTCTCATCATGAACCAGGTTCAGCACTTTGGGCTGAGATCATGACTCCAGCTGGAGCTTTCTAGCTGCTTTACTAACTCCTCCGTGGATCCTACTTCCTGTTCACCTGCGTTCAGCTCCGTGTCTCTACCTGTGATCAGGTCCTCGGCAGATCTTCCGGCTTCGCTCGAGGACGTTCAACAATCAACCATCAGCAGCTCAGACCTGTTGTTCCTCCTCTGACTCTCTGATCAGCATCTGGCTGTTCAGCTGCACCGCCTCCCTCCCCCGCAGGCCACGCCCACCTCATACATAAACCACGCCCCCGGGCTCAAGCCCCGCCCCACTATTGTTACAGATTTAAAGGAGCAGTTCAGCTCATGAGATGTGGTTTCCTATGGAGCGGTGTGACATTACAAATCAATCAATCAATCAATCAATAAAAATAAATAAAAATGAAAAAATAGTTAAAAAGTAAAAAAAAAAATGTATTAGAAAAAGTATAAAAAATAAATGAATAAAAAATAATGAAAAATTAAAGAAATAATATAACAAAATAAAATAAATAAATATTCATAACTAAAAATTTAAGAAATAATAAAACAAAATAAATAAATATTAATATTATTATTATTATTTAATTGTCTTAATATTTCTACTTTTATTAGCCTTTTCTTTTATGGATTCATTTTTGATTAATATTGCTTTATATCACCACATTATTTATTTATCTTTAATTTTATTTATTCTTCTGTTTATTTCCACTTTTATTTCATTATTCTTTTATTGATTTATTTTGGTAATTTGGCCTCTCACTGCTCCACCGTCTCCAGCTGCTCCAACACTGTGATTAAAATGACAATAATTAATTAGACTAACTTGATTTAAAGTGGACATTATTTATAGTTTAGGCCTGTTTTTTGTTTGTTTAATAAATTAATACTCTTTTATTTTATTAGATATTATGTGTAATTTAACAAAACAGGTGTTATTTATAGTTTTTCTGTGACATAACATCAAATATCTGTTTAAAAAAAACATACAGTGGATTTTACATATAAGAAAAATTGTTTATTTTAGTCAAATTATGTAAAAGAACAAATTATATGAATACTAACGTGGACATAATACCTTTTTATTCTGTGATTTTACCAGATATTATTTGTAATTTAATAAAACCATCATAAAGGTGTTTTGTTTAAATCAACATAATATTTAATGGATCAGAAACTGGACCGATTTCGGATCAATGAGGCGGTTCGGAAAGAAGAAACTCAGAATAAAACCCCACAGACCGTCAGTCGTGTCTCTTTATTCTTTCAAACATTTAGAGTCAATTCCAACAAAGCGTTTCAAAAAAATGTAAAGTTTCATGAAATAAACGAGCGACACGAAGACGTCCGAGAGCGGCGCCGTTTGGTCCGTTTTCTGTTTGGTCCCGTCGGCTTTCAGACAGAACCAAACATCCGAAAGCAGAAGCGAAGCGGGTTGAGGTGAGGTTCTTCTGTGCAGCAGCGTCCGTCTTCACGAATACATGGTGAGCTGCAGCCACTGGAAGACACGAGCAGACAAGCTGAGTTACAGAAAGCAGCAGGACGCTTCCTCTGCACTGTAAAAAAAAACTGTATTAAAAAAATTAAAGAAATGTGGCTGCAATGTGCAAAAAAACCTGAAACCTGTCAAATTACAGCAAATATCTAAAAAATGTCGTTCACTTCTTAAAACACAAGAAAAATAGTGTGGTTTTATTTCTGTTTTTATTTTTATAATATTTTTGTAAATGCAGCTTTTTGATGTGGAGATTATTTATAATTTTAGCCTGTTTTTATAATTTTTAAAAAAAATGGTTAACATGTGAATTAATGTGATTTTTATCTGTAACTTCACAAAACTGGGTTTAAAAAAATCTTTGCTCTCCATCCTAATATTCAAATTCTTCTAAAGGAATTATTTTCATTTATTAAAATACAGATTTTTGTAGTTTTGTCTCTTTTTGTTTTTTACATCACAACGCTGCCACCACTATGAGACGTGCACATTTATCTCTTTTTCACCGATTTTACGAGCTATGTTCTGTAGTCTAACACGAATCTGTAAAGCACCTGCAGACAAACATAAATATTCCCGTTTGTATTCTGGAGTGAAAAACTCAACCTGCGCTTTTGCTTTCAGCTGCAGAAATGAAAGTACTGGATAGAAAACGTCAGCAGAGAGAGTTTAACCTTCACTCAACCTCCAGAGAGAAAAGAGAGCAAAGTGTGTTTTACCTCCTTGATGTCGAGCTCGATGGAGCCGCTGTTGTCTGAATCCAGAGTCTTGAACGCTCCTGAGGACGCACACGAGACACATTTAGTGAAGCTGACGGGTCGATATTTACTCAAACATTCAGCGTTAACAGAGAGGACGCCAACAACAGAGCTGCTGGTTGTTCTACAGTCAGGCTGCTGTCAGAGGTCAACACGGGTCAAACGTGAACAGGAAGTGATGAAGGAGACACTCACTGCACATGGCGTCCAGTCGCACCAGGCAGCCGATGAAGTTGTCAAAGTCCATGTCGCCGTGCTCATCGCTATAGCGACGGATAATCAGCTTGTAGAGCTGATCGTTCAGCGGGAAACCTGCACAGAGACGCACAGTCAGCGGGATGGAACCCACCTGGACGGTTCCTACCGCTCACAACTTCTCTCACCTGCAGCCTTGAAGGCTCGCGGCAGCTCCCGAGAGCAGATCACGCCTGATTGGTCGGCGTCCTGGGACATGTAGACGCCCTGCAGGCAAGCACACCAAGGACACGTTCAGAGTCAGAGGGACTCGAAAATGTCCCACAATGATTAAAAATTAGTTTAAAAAAACGCGTCTAATTGGACAAAAATGACTAAAAAATCACTCGAAACCTGAAAACGACTTGGAAACTTTAAACACGTCAAAACTGATCAAACTGAGTCTGGATTAACTAAACTAAACCTGAAGCACGTCCAAACCAAATTCTAAATTGTCCAAAATGACTTGAACATCGTTAGAAATGACAAAAGTTGTAGAAAACATTTTTTAAAAACTTAGTCAAACTTGTCCAAATTAATCTCAAATGATCAAAAGTAACTTCAAACTTCACAAATATGTTCAAAAGGAAAAGAAAATGCTCCGAAATTACTTTTGCCAAATTCACTAAAAAATGTCTCACAAGGACTGAAAACACGTCCAAAATGAATCAGACGGTGTTTGAACCTGATGAATGGAAAGGACTCAAAACTTAAAAAGAGTCCAAAAGGATTAAAAAATGATCAACATGAACCTGCAACTCGTCCAGACCGACTCCAGAAAAAAAAACAAAATACGTCCAAAAAAACGTCAAAATTAAATAAAATAAAATAAACCCGGTCTAAGTACATTTTAAAACAACATTCAAAGTGACAGAACCAACGGTCCAGAATGACTAAAAAACTAAGTTAACCCCTAAACGACTGAATGCAGTGAGCCCACCTGCCATCTCTTGATGTTGTTCCACAGATACTTGAACTCGTGGAAGCCCAGTTTGCCGGTGCTGTCGCTCTGAAGGAGGCCGAGTCAAAGGTCTAACTCAGTGAGACAAACTTTGTTTTTAAACCATAAATTTTAAATGTGAATAGACACTAAGAGAAAGAGAAGATGGACCCATTTCCTCATTCTTGAATGATGAAGGTGGAGACGAGTGACGGAGGTCACCAAGACTCCTCTGAAGGAGGTACAAGAAGGAGACTAGAGAGATATGAAGCACGG